AATACCACCTCTTATGTCGTCATTTGCCTGTTTCTGCTCAACTCATGACTGGAAGAAGGAGTGCGGTCTACTAGCATCCAATACTGGACAGGGTCTAGCCAAGAGTTTGAGATATGCTTGCCGTACCCAGCTTAACCACATCTTAGTACATCGGCACAAGCAGCAAGATGGTGGCATGCATTGCTTGGATGCTCCCTGTGTTGGGATAGAAATTCTATCAACACCATCCGTTGTGTCACAAAGGAACTCCAATCACAGCGCGGTCAACGCTTGGACGTTAGCTTCCAGGCGGCACGTTTTTGTTCAGTGGGATCATGAGAAACCACTACTGTTTTCTCCAGAAAATGTGGGACATCTACTGTAAAATGACCATTCTATCATTTTTTTCTGGTGGTTCACCTTGGATTTATGCTCGGATTTCAGGAGGGTAAGCTATCAAGACAGAATCCCAAACATGAACAGACTCAGAGTGAGCACCCCAGATGTCCATCAATTGATTGTCGTTTGAACCAGCAGCAAGGTGGCTCACAAGGACGGTCCATGTTTTGTGAAGCTTTCAATGGGGAACAACATGTTTCATGGGTTAATTTTTGGGCGGGAACGCCTGGATGTCATAAATAGAGGCATATCACATCCCACTAAGGTCACCATTTTTTCTTTGGTCGGGTATCTGTACGCGTAAAATTGGCCTTGGGTAGATCCAACACTATCTCCACTTGAGGCAACAACAACGCATGACTGCGCCAAAGAAGAGAAAGCAGGTTGCTGGGGATCCTCTGGGCACGGAGTCATCATGCCCCTGGGGACACCATGGACACCCACAGCAAAGCATGGCCATCAGTGGTCTACCAGCTATGTTTTGTTTTTTTCCCCCTGAGACCTTTGGTACCCTTGGGGGGGTCATCACCTAGGTCCATCTCTGCACCAGGCATCTTCATCTTCTTCGTCAGATGCGAAGAAGTCTAAGCGAGTGGGCCTAGTTTCTTGCGGGGTTCCCGCCTGGGGTTCAAGAAATCTTATGAAACGCGACAAAGATGGATGGTGGCCGTTCTTAAATCATCATTTTGATGTTTTGTTTGGTTCTTTCATGTTGTTTCTTAATTTCCACTTGGAAAGGTCATACCCGACATTCAAATCACTTCGTGGAGACAAATTAAATAGCAGGGCCTGGTAGAAAAGTGGAGAATTCTGGGAGTCCCAAAAGGTTCCATCCCCATATCCGCTCCACCCTTTAGAGTAAATATCATTTGAGCAGCGGCAAAAAGAAGGACGAAGAAGGGCACCACATGTAGGAGATTGGAAATTCGATCATGGTTTGGATGATTTTAAATGTCCTATCCGGCCAAGTCATTTGCATGTCATGATCTTTGCTGCTCGACCGGGTGAGGGTCAAAGTCTATAACGATCCAAGTGTTTGGCTAATGACTTGACCCATCTGTGTTTGTCAAAGGGCGGTTCTATCACCATTTGCCTCTCTATATGTTCTCTATATGTCTCTATTTTCTTTGATAAGTCTGGTTGATAATATATGATTTATAATATATGATAATATGTGATATTTTTTTGATAATATATGATGATATATGATAATATATGATAGCATATGATAACAAATGATAATATATGATAATATACGATAATATACCAACAAACCGTAATCATGTATGTTTATTCTGAGATCTTTTCTCGATCTGTAGACAATGATTTTCAGCAAGATCTGACCCAGTTTACCTGATTTTCCCATGAAGATTGATCTGGCTGTACCTCATGGCGACATGAAGAACCAAGAACGGTGAATGGGGATTGGTAGCTACCTATAACATCTATAGCCTATGCTGGGAATGGGGAAACGGCATCCAGCTATACCAGCTATAGTTTGGTGTTCACCAAGGCTATAGTTTATGTGTCGACCCATACCTTTAAATGATCCCACATGATTATGAAAATGCTTTACATATCGACCAACCCCAGCGTTTTCTTTTTTTTAAGGGGCTTGTTGCCAGCGCTAGAAGGTAGGCTTTCCTCATGTTTTTGTATCTTTTGGGAAATGGTCATAATCAAATATGATGTTTGAAAGGAGGAGGCCTAAGCCTTTCTGTTTGTTTAACCAGTGTGATCCATTTTGAGGAATTTTTGAGGATATCATTGCTACTAACCATTGTGCTTCTGATGCTTCGTTTTCGCGGGTTGCCAGACTCACCTCAAGCCACTTTTAATTCTTGAGGACATATGACACAGAGTACTTCAATATTAGTATATATACTCGTAGTAATAAGATAAACTATATAATATATGATAATATTAAGTATATATAAGTATATTAACTATTAATTATTCAGTATTATTCATTATTATGCATCCATGTCCCATTTTTGGACCCACGAAATCCATGAACTTCGGTTGAATCCCATGAACTCCCTGGTTTTTTTTCCAGGAAGAGCGACTCGCCCGGGTGGAACGCCTCAGCACGGGGCATGTTTTTTTTCGGTCTGAACGATGAAATATGATGGAAATGTGATAAGGTATGAAGCCTCATTAAAAAAAGAACCGAAAGTGACATCGGCATTTCATCACTATGTCTGTGAATTTCCCCGTTGTGATGTCACTATCACTATGTCAAAAATCTCAAACGGGCTCCGGGCAGCTACATCCGGAGCTGCTTAGAGCTCCATCTTGTTGAATCTTGGCCATATTTACCTCACTTAAATTGCATGTCACGCTAATCGGAAAGATATCTTCAAAAATGAGGTACTCCAATTTTACAATTGAGGCACTTGGGGTTATATATATATAGCACATGTGTGCACTCTTGCAGAATTGATGAAACTTGGGAAAATGGAATACACAAAATTGTGTATTGCAACAATCATCCATATCGGACAACTAACAGTGTTTCTTTTTTTTTAAGATGTCCAAATAAACCCAAAAGCATTGGTTCTACAAACCAAACAGATAATTTGTACAGGTATAATCCCATCCCCCCAATATTAAACACCTCCGAAATGGTCCCAATCATGTGGAAGTTCCCTACGAAACCATGGCTTCTCAGGGGTAAACATCCCTAGTGATCGAGGCCGCGTCCAGCGCCCCGGGGGGTGCGAAGGGTGTGGGGGCACAGCCGAAAAAACAGAGTCGTTGTGTGGGTTTGAAGGCACCACTGCTGGGGAAAAAAAGGTTCCAATGGCTCCTGATAGATGATAACATGTGTTTATATGTTTTTCTCATAAAACAATGATGAATGAGTGGTTTTAATCCACTTTTCTCCGCTTGCTTAATCTATAAAAAACGGTAGGATTTAATGATAACCAGAGATTGGGATTGACTCAGCTGGGATTGTCCCATGGAAAGTTGGGTGAACATTGGGCAACATTATGGGACAATCAGTATCTTATTGTTGTTAATTAAGCAACAATCGGTAGTCGATAGTCAATCCATGAGACAATCAATTTGTACCTTTCGTTATTTGGACTCAACAATCGGGGAGATGATATCCAATTTGTTGGTCAATCCTAAAGGTTCAGTCTTAGTACTTGATCAACAAAGCTTAGTACTTGAAGTCCCTGATTTCAGGGTTTATGTAACTTGAGTGTAAGGCATACACTTGGACGAACATCCAAGTATCCCTTTCTTGCTGGTAACATGGGCATTGGTCAAAATTGGGATACAAGAACCATCTATGCTTCTCAGGGCCTTAGCCTTTAACTCTGACCGTTTTGCCGTGCAGAATCGTCGCTATCTCAAATGGGAGTACCCAACTGACGTGCCCAGAAATAGCTGATCACTCTGGGGAAGCCATCATATCTGCCGCATTTTTAAGGGGTCATGTTTTAAGCCATACCCGTGGGCATGCCGGGCATGACTTTGGGGACGCTCCAACACAACTGGGTTTTGGACTGCTGAAATCATCTCTGAATTCCATTGAGCAAATGATATGTGTTGAAACATTTGGATACATTTGGAGATATACAGTAGTTAGCAATACTTGCTATACAACCACCAATGTTGGGTGAAGGGAACGTTTGCAATGTGCAGGTACTGTAAACCCACAAATTTGGATAGAAAAGGATAAAAACACATGTAAAAGCCATATGGTTTCCAATTGTGTGTGGGCCCCATTTTCCCTGAGGTTAGTGTAACCCCTTCACCATCGCCAGAGCCGCCACCGCGTGCCACACTTGGTGGTTGATGGCTTGTTTGCTTGGGTGGCTGTTTTTTGACCAACAAACAATCTAAGTGGATAAGTGGGTAATGAACTTATACAATGTTGTTTTTACTATAATATGGTGCAGTGCACTTATATATATATATATTATATAGTATGGTACAGTGCACATATATATATATATTATAATTAATAGTTATATATATATATACATACTTTTCCATACCTTATCTGGGATGATTATTTGGCTTGAACCACCAGGCCGATAGGAACTTCGGGATACAAAACTGTTCCAGATCAAAGTGTTTTGACCGCATCTTTATAAATTGAACCTATGGGACCAACAATCTTAATCTCGCGCGTCCTGTTTCATCGTAATGGCTCATCCCCTTGACTGCAGGGGTGGGGTAGTGGCCCGAAAATATCAGCCTAGTGTTGCACCCGGGTATTGAACCTTGGGTTGTGGATGACTGAATGGCGGTTGAGACATCTCCAATTTGGTGATGTTTGGTGGTCACTGTTTTCTCCCCCATGAATGGCGCTTTGACTCAGCTAGCCCAAAGGTAGTTTGGCGCCCAAAGGGCCACGACTTTGATTCTGCAACCAGAGGGCTCATATGTTGGCAATTTACACATGTTGTTGTCTGGTTGGTGGTTTCAAACATGTTTATTTTCCATCATATATGGGATAATCCTTCCCATAATCCTTCCCATAGATGGTTAAAAAATGTTAAAACCACCAACCAGTTCTTCTTTACCTATGCAAAACCAAGTTTTCGGACACCGCGTCCACTTGGGACAGTCCCAACTCACCAGGTTTTTCAGGTCCCTCGGGCGCCATGGCCCCCTGCCCCGGCTGGTTTGGCGCCGCGGTGTCGGATGCCACGGCGAAATCACCAGAGCTGCCAGCGTTTCCGTTTCCAGCAACGCTGGCCAAGGCGGTGGTACTAAGGGAATTTCAATGTGTTTTTTTAATGAAATTTATTCTAGGGTACCTGATTCATGATTGCTAAGTTGGTTGTTATAATTCCAAGAACTAGGACTTTTGGATATATCTACAGTTGATGGGATCATAGACCAATTTATAGCATTTTATAGCTAGGGTAGGATTGAAAGGGGGATTAAACCATCATCAATAGGATATCCTTTGGGATATTGTGTTTGATATCGTTTGGAATATTGCTTGGGATACCCCAGCCGCCCGTACTCGCTGGTGCAAGCTACTAATTCGTTAAAGGCAATGAATCCTGTTGATCCTTGGGAAGGATCCACTCCTGAAAGTAGGTTCATGAAAATACGCCCCAAAAGAAAAACACGCCCCGGTACCCAAAAGATTATGGTTTGAAACCAAAACCAGATTCTTGAAAAAGGGTTACTAATTTGAAGCCCTATAATGTTGCAGGTATATATATATATTACTTTTATAACCAACAAATAGTTGGGAAATGATGAAGATGCTGGGAACAAAATCATGGACCCAGCCATGGTGGCATCCAATCTGGGAATCGCTGGAAGGTGGTAGAGGAGCATGTGAGCAAAGCTGTGGCGGCAAGGACGCATGCCCTGCAAAGCATTCGCGAGGCTCAGGGGGTGATAAATGTCTGGTGAATGGTAATTGAATCGCAGTTGAATGGTACCCTCTGGTAAACGTTTACATAATTATGGAAAAGTCACCATGTTTAATGGGAAAATCCACTATTTCTATGGCCATTTTCAATAGCTACGTCAAATTACCAGAGGGTAAATCAGTGGTGGAGTAAGTGGAAATTGAATGAAATTGATCTTCCACTGAAAAGAACCTTGCTTGAGGGGATTCAAAGATTAATTTGGTGTGTTCATCCGGCTGCACCCTTTCAACTGAGGTTTTTTGGCTCTCTGAAAACAGATGTTGTACAGGACACTTGTACCCCAAATTGATTTCGGGCACCCATATTTTGAAGATTTTGAGGTGTGCGTCCCAAAGCAACCCTGATCATATAGAACCTTCAATCTCTTTTGTTGAGGCCGATTTGGACATAAACTAGAGCTATCCCAGATTTCTCCATGCCATTAAGCTACACAATTATATAGTATTAATTATATATATAATTATATATAGTAATTATGATATGCTATAATTATAATGATACTTATCCACTTATCGACTATAATTATAGTTCTCCATTATAAGTATAGTATATCATAACTATATTATATAACTATCATAACCATCATAACCATCATAACTATCCATTATAAACATCATATCTGATGTCATGTTTGATTCTGGTTCTCCAGCTGTTAAGTCAACCTCCACCATCCACGGATCTGGTGGCTTCGCGGCTTCGGCGTAGGCCACGGGAGCCGACGTCTATGACGCGACTCGGCCGCCTCGTTGTCGCCGGCGCGTTGGCTCGTGCAGAAAGGGTTGATGCACTGGGTCAAAAGGTGTTTAAAGGTGTTTTAAAAGGTGTTTGGAATGGGGTTATAACCCATAGGATCCATGTATGCCATATATGGTAACATTTACCATCAATATACCCCAAATGTTAGCATATATATACCATACATGGATCCTATGGGTAATGAACATGGGTCATTAAATGTTCCCATTGAACATCACCCAACCATTAGGGATATGGTCTATAATGGCTACTACAAGGTGATGTCCAATATTCCCAAAATGGGACAGTTACCAACCCCTGTTTAAAAGGTGTTTAGAATGGGGTTATAATGGGACTTAATGGGATTAGAATGGGATTCGAATGGGACTTAATCTGGTTGGTGGTTTGGAACACAAATTTCATTTTTCCAGATATTGGGAATCATCATCCCAACTGACTTTCATATTTTCCAGAGGGGTTGAAACCACCAACCAGACAATATTTATGGGATCTTGTTGGGTTTTTTATGGGATTCTAACGGGATACCCTCTGGTAAAGAAACAGTTTGCTATGGAAAATCACCATCTTTAAGAACGGTAAATCAACTGAACTGCTATGGGCCATTTGAAAAATAGCTATGTAACCAAAGTACCAGAGGGATCCAGAGGGTATATTGAAAGTCAATATGTGTTATAAGCATTGATATTGGGTTTTGCATATATATATATATTGAACATGATTGAACATTCGTGAACATGAATGAACATGTGTAATTAATTGGATGTTCTCTTGATTATACCACTTTTGATTGCATGTCCCCCCAAAAAAAGCCACAGCCATTGCCCACAAATCGAAGCCTTTTAGCTGTGTGAGCCACCTGGGCCCGAAGAAATTCTCGGATCTGCCTGCGATGAACTCAGGCGACACTAAAGCGGTTCCAATCGATGACTCTGGAGGCTGACTTCGAGTTTGACACAGGAGCTGAGAGATGGAGACATATTTCAAAAAGAACACAGTTTTGCAGAGGAAATTCACCGGATAAAGACTGTTCAAATGCAATTTTTGGAGTACAGTTAGGGCATTAAGTAGTATCGATTTTGGTGTTTTCAGTCACTTTGGCGGGGTGGAGCTTCGCAGGGGGGTCGCATCAATTTTCGTTTTGCCATGCAGAATTTTGTATAGAAATATAGAAATGATTGAACATGTCACTGCTTCGTTGTCATTTTTGTGGTTAGTCCTTGCGGAGCCTGTTGCCATGAACTGTTAAGAGATCATTTGTGTTTCCTATTAAACAGGTAGAAACATGTTGGCTTACAGTTTGGGTCTGTTGCCATCATTTGGCATCCATGGCACATGATCAGATCGGTATTTGTTCAGTTTGGTGTGGAAGGATTTTTTTTTGGGTTGGGTCTGGTTGGGTTAATTCCAGCCATGGTGCCCCTTTTTGGTGCCTTTTTGGTGCCTTTTTCAAGACGACTTCCGGTTGGGAAAATTTGGGAAAAGCCATGGCCGGAGGATCCTATCCCCTTCGCGAAGCACTGCTTGAAAGTTGCGGCTTTCCGAAGGACACGGAGCTCACGAGACTGCATCTCCATCCCGGTGCCAAGGAGATGGGGATGGCGCTGGCACAGATCCAATGCAGGTGAAGATACCCTCTGGTAATTTAACATAAAAATGGTGATTTTCAATAGCTATGTCATAGCTATTGAAAATCACCATTTTTAATGGGAAAATCCACTATCAATGATCATTTTCAATAGCTATGTTAAATTGAGGGTATTTGATATCAAAATCATATTGTACAGAATCCCCCCCAGAAAAGATTCCAGATGATTTTCCAGACCACCATGAATCATCATGAATCATCATGAATCATTATATGATTAGATTCCTTTAGATGATTATCCCATTAGATTCACCGGGAGGATCTGCTGCTGCGGCGCCTCACGGTCTCGACCGTGGACGGCGCCAACGGCGCCTTCCACGGCGCCTTCGACCGCTTCGTGCGCCAGGTCTGTGCCGAGGCCCTGGCGCGGCGGGCGGCGGAGGCATGGCCAGGTGCCATTGTGGAGCTTGTGGAGCAGTTGGGTAGTGGGGGTTGGAGCCCCAAGAGATACCCTCTGGTAAACTAACATAGCTATGGAAAATCACCATTTTTAATGGGAAAATTCACTATAAATGGCCATTTTCAATAGCTACGTTAAATTACCAGGGGGTAAGATGTTTCCATAGTGGGGGTACCCCAATAGTACTGGAAACATCTGGAAACTCCTACTCAAATGGATGATTTGGAGGTACCCCTATTTTCGGATGGATGAAGATTTCACCAGAATGGGGACAAATATTGGGACCTGATTGGTAACCAGGATGCCACTAGATTTTCACCACTTAAGATTGGTGGATCAAGACTATTCGAAAAATGCAATGGAAGTTTGGATTCCACCATCAAAAGTCTGTGGTAAACCCACCATATAAACAACTACCGTTTGGGGATAGTGTATAAGGCCCCCCCCCCAGTCGTGGTAAGTCATTGCGAATGGTTTGATGAGGCTTTTGTGTGGGGATGATTTCTCCAGCCATAGCCTGACCCTGGCAGGCTTGGACAGCATCTACTACCAAGCATTTCCCTGTTTGCGCATCGTGCAGCCTGGAGAATTCTCTATTGGGCCACATGCTGATGTCGCCTTGTGGCACCTGTCAGAGGGGTTGTGGCCGTGGCCGATGACAAAGACTGTTGCTGATTTTCATTGGTTTCATGAAGCAACAGGAAATCATGAACTGATTTGGCTTCAAGCATCATGTGATGTAAGGAAAACTATTGCATGTTGACTATTGCTTGCAAGTCTTGGAACAATGGAGGGTCGGCTGCGAGCAGATATGATATAGGTCTATAGGTTTGCCACGATGGATGGCCCAAGATTATGTCATGTTCTAGTTTGTCTCGGGGGACAGGGAAGGACTGTTTGTTTCGAGGTTTTAGTGAACATGTGCACATGAAATTTCCACACTTGCATGCACTTGCTGCGTCAATTTTAGCCCTTTTTGGGAAGATTATTTTTCTGACTGACCACATTTGACTATGGATGTTTATTCCTTTTTTAACGTCTTAAAACTTAAAACTTATTTTTTATTTCTTCAACATGTAGAGTAGACGAATTGCCATGGCCCCAAACATCACGGGTTGGGTTTCATGATGTATTCGCATCAGATTTCGCATAGAGACGTCCCTGGAGGTTGCTTATGGACACCATCCCTGCAGCATGAACTTCTATGTGCCCCTCACTCCCATCAGCAAGACGTCTTCATTGTTTCTGGCTACTTGGCAGTGTTTTTTTTTTTTTTTTTTTCGGGGCTATGCCATCGGCGTCTTGTAGAAGCCTGCTTGATGATACAATTCAACGTGAGCCCTGGAATATTGATTCATCAGGATTCATCCATTGATAGAAGTGGATGGCTTTGAGATGCTACCCCGTGATACTCTAAAAGGTAAGATACATAAAGATACACCCCTATATTATCCCATATATGCAATTATGTATATATATATACATATCCATTAATATAATATGATATGACAATATATTATTATTATTATTATTATTGTAATATATATATATATATTAATCATTAATATATATATATATACTGTAAATACATCCCTATATGTTCATGACATTTGTCAATGCTGCAGTGTTTTCCGGTGATCCCACAGGAAAGCCGCAGTGGAGCAGCCGATTGGCATCCCATTCTGGGGGACTATGGTGTCCTGCCGTGAAGTCATCCCAACATGGGAAATCATCCCCGAAGGATAGCCGCAAGTTTCAGGTGAGATAGGTGAGTGAAGTAATGTGAAGTATGATCAGCCGCAAAGCCAGAGAGCTTAAGGTTATGATGAATAAACAAACTCAAGTTTTTTTGTCGCATCAATGCAGCATAAATCGTTGATGATGTTGATAAAAATCCTTTGTTGAACTTTCTTTTTTCTGGTTCTTTACCCAAAGATAACGATGGGGACAACGCAATGGCGGCCATTGCACCTCAGGTCAAGTGAAACACTTTGCAGGTGCTCTATGTGCTCACTGGACCACAGAAAACAACACAGAACCTTGAGTTTGTCCTATCAGTTTTCGGTCTATCGTGGAGGGTTACGAAGAACGTATGATTGATATGATATGTGAATAAAGTGGACATATAATAATTTGACTATTCTACTATAATTGCGAATGTTTACCAGCTGATTTGATGTAATTTGAATATTCTGCTATAAAATTGCGAATATTTACCAACCAGCTGAATATTTAGTTGGCCAGGAATTCGGGACAACCTGCAAACAATGAGATTTTTTCATGCCAACGACATGTAACCAGGAGTTAAACCTTACACATCAAAACTATCAAAACCAGGATCGGCTAAAGTTGCCTACCGGATACATATACTAATTTTTCATAGTTGTTGATTGTCCTAATTATAGTGATGTGTCAACCACGGGTGGCACCATTGAGTCTTTGCGTTGCAAATTCGGGGGTAACCAAGGTTTTGGGCCGAGCTCAAAATCACGCAATCGCCAGCAACATCATACAGGATGGTGCCCCCCAGTTATAAGTTGGTTTATAAACCCCATTAACTATAGTTATATCTACCATAAACCATAGTTATGGGAGTTATAAACCAACTTAGCTAACTATGAGGCACCACCTTGTATGGGGGGTTCCTTTTTTGGGGGGGGGATCCCAAAACCATCCAATATTGGTGATCCGATCAATGGGAAAAAACAATTTAGGGTAGCCAGATTTTAGGAAACCCGTTTGATGATCCCATATGATCCATATGTGTCACCCCTGTTTTTGTATTTAAAAGTTCGCAGAAAGAGATGATGGTGAAACTCATGAAGATTGTGGGCATCATATAACATATTGGAATGAGAATAACAAACATGAATGAGAATAACATATCCAAGACGTGAACATGAAAAAGAATATGCCATAATCGTGAAACCTTTAAGGTTTCCCACTGGGATATCTCAGGGATCTGGGTGTATTTTGGTTTCTACTAACTGGATAATGGACATTATGTATTAACCAATCACAGAGGGAAAAACACATTTAGCTATTGATGATAGTTGATGTATTCATTGGGAAATCCACCAGATATCAGGAATGTCACGGTTTAATTCCCTCGGTTTTTGCTTGGTCTTGGTTCGAGGAATGGACCAGGGTTTCCCTGGATGTGCGATTAATTTGTGGGCCCACGTTTCATGCACTGAAGTTTGCAGATGGGAAACTTGGATTCAACAGGAGGCTTCTGAGCATTGGATTGTCGATTGGGCGGACTCTGGGTAAAGTTAAGAATATTGAAGAAGCCACAAGCTGATGGTGCATATCAGTACGGGGCTCTATATAGAATATGGTGACATAATATGGGACATAATATGGGACATAATGTGGGACATAATATGGGAGATACCCTCTGGTAAACTAACATAGCTATGGAAAATCACAAGTTTTAATGGGAAAATCCACTATTAATGGCCATTTTCAATAGCTACGTTAAATTACCAGAGGGTAATATGGGACCATATGGGACCAACTTTGGGCCTAGCTTTCCAGTTAGTCAGTTCTGCCATCAGCGACTCCACCTGCAAAGATCTGGTAAAGACGAGTGACTGGCATCTGTGCGGAGTAACATGTGAGTGGCTCCAAGTAGATTAAAATGATATGTTCTAAAAATAGGACGGTTAAGGTTTGAATCATATTTGAATCATGTTGTATAGTTTATGATATAGATTGTTATAGTATCTGCATCAAACAATAATAAGTCTCTATATGTCCCACCCAAAGAATGGATGTTCCGAATCAAACGGATGCTTCAATAGTTCAATGCATCTCTGAGGAGCCAGGACCTCAAGGCTAAGCCCGGCTACTACCTCCAGTGCTTCCGGGGCCCCGGTGGCTGGCAGCGCTTCGAGCCGTTGCCGCGGCCGGATGCGCGCTTCGGATTTCCTTGGACGGTCAAGGATTGGGATAAGAGGCAGCGAAAGGCCGGGATTGAAGATATTGAAGGTGATTTATTTAGTGTTTTTTTTCTCTATTGAAATTCCAAATTGGTGTTTCCTAAAATGGGGGGATCCCGAAAACCATAGAGTTTCAATACTAAACTGGTTTAATTTTGGATTTCTCATTTTAGGAAGCCCAAAAATTATTCAAATTTCAAATGGCAAAAATCCGCCATGACTAGGGAATCTACGGGAGAAGAAACTATGTTTTTTGATATTTCTTGGAGGCCTTGAAGCAAATCCAAAGGCCATGGAGAAGATCCATCAGAGAGAAACCAAGGAGTTGGAATGAAGATCCCACTGCGGACCCCCATGCTCGAAGCGGGACGAAACACGCAAAGGAGAACGAAACAGAAATCCGACAGCAAGAGACGGATGAACATTGATGAAACTCGATGAACATGGGAGTTCCACAGAAGTTCAATACGGAGCAAAAAAGAGTCAGCGCTTTCAGCGTAGACACAGAGGCTGCGACTGGACTATCAACAGATGGGATTCATCAGACCAGGAGAAAACCAATGCCCGATGAGTGTTACATCGAGTGCGTCCGAGACTGTTCTTCAGCACGTTGAATCAGCTCTAGTCCCCCTGTTGGCTCCCTGTTGGCGATCCTGAAAGTTGGCGATCCGCGACTTCGGGACAAAAGGCTGTGAGCAAACCAATGGTGAGGTCGGGGAAAGCTAGGTTTGTTCATTTCCAAGATTCCCAAGGGGAAGACTCCCACTCTCTCCGTTTATGTGGTGGCAATACTGTGAACATGTGTGAACAGTGAAATGTCAAACAAAACACGGCAGAAACAAAAGCACATGTCACTGTTATTGTTGATGATGTCCTGGTATCCTATTAAATTCAAAATATCCTTTTAATTAGCCTATAGATTAAACATGATTAAACACTAATTAAACTGATCTTCATCAGATCTTGTTTGATCATTTGTGTATCATAATCTCATCATCTCAAGCTATCGCAGCTCCGGGACTCCGGGACTCGCCCAGGCTTTGTCCATCGACAAGCTGGGATACCTGGGCCATGGGCGACCAGAGTCATCAGTAGATGTCTGGGGATTCGAGGTGAGTCCAGAGTTATCCCAAAAAAACATCGAAAAACACAAAAAAAACAACCAAAAAACATCAAAACACCATCTGTTTCCGCTTTTGGAAAGGAACCAAATTCCAATATAGTCCACAGCATCTGGCACTGCAAGATGGCCAAGACCCAGAGACTCTTCAAGCTGTCACGGTCACAGCGAAGTTGTGAGGAAGGCCAACGGTTGACATCTACTGAATGGTCACCCAGGTATCATCTCGAATCTCAATACTCTTAAGTACATGACAGAAACATCACCAGGACTTATGAATAGGATGTTTCATAGGAGAAACTAGCCCAGGATGCCCAGGATGATCCACTAGAGACACTTCCTTGCCGGTCACCGCTCAGATTGAGCAGAGAACCCTTTCAGAGTCTCCTGCCAGGCCGGAGACATCGCTTTTTTGGGACGTGGGACATCTAGCTGGACATCCAGCGAAATAGCAGGATGGCCATAGCTTTGGGGATTGAACCAGCCGAAATATAGGCGATGGAATTGGACTAGTCGGGGTAAGTCGGGCAGATACCTCTGAAATATTTTCTGACTACATCCTGCATACTACTGCTGCAGTAAACGGTAGGGATATGGCGGATATGGTCGAGTTGTGGGGATGTGTGACAAACCTAACTGGCAAGTTGGTTTGAGTCAAGAATGGGACAACATTCAATCCCATAGGATCCATGTATGGTATATTGATGGTAAATGTTACCATAGCAGCACCATGGATCCTATGGGAATTATAGACTACAGAAATCCTTGCCTAGAAAGACATCAGAAGTCCAGCGTCCGAGCCAGCAGAATATATTTTCGTATCTTTCTGAAAATGGTTACCCTCTGGTAATTTAACATATAGCTATTGAAAATGGTGATTTATAGTGGATTTTCCCATTGAAAATGGTGATTTTCCATAGTTATGTTAGTTTACCAGAGGGTAGTATACCCCCAAATAGAAGTTTGAATAGGGGAGATTGATGGAAAATGATCATAAACCAGCAAATTTGAGGGCCACACCCATATCAATAAGATCAGCCCCTGTCAGGCGGTCACCGGAGCGAGCATCCAAAGGCAAAGGCAAAGGCGCAAAAGAACGCCCCAAAACCGCTGACCAAATGGGCGGGTGAACTTTCAGAAAACCCTGGAGATCCATGAAGTAATGGTTAGTAAATGTGAGTAAGCGGTTAATGATGTTAATGATCCACATAGACTGTAGTTGGAATTTATATGAATTTACATCCCATGTGTCACTCGGTTACACTCTTAGCCTTGTTATGTTGGCCCTGCTTGAAACCCTGCAGCTGGAACCCTCCGTAAAATTACCAGAAATTTCAGGTTGCTGAATTGTTATAGTTGAACAATGTTGAACATCATTTATGTAGAATAGATTGGCTCGTGTAAATGTGGTAAACTTCGGGAAATCTGCCAGGTGAAGTAGATACCTGGCGAGCTGAATTCGAGGAGGTGAAGATGCGGGAAGTGCTGGTAAGTTGGGTGGAATTCTTGGCCATAGACTGGGTCAACCTTGATTAGATACTTTAGTGTTTCAATCTTTGCTCTCAATGGTAAAATGATGTAAAATGATGTAAAATGATGTAGAATGTACTAACTAGCTAATAATTAATGAGTTTTTGTTGGCAGGTATCTAAGGTTCACCATGTAAATAGGAAAATAGATTGACCGATTAGAGTCAGGTTCTTGTCAGGGCGTCCAAGATTGGGCATGGGGGAAGATTCTGACAAAAAGTCATTACTTTCTTGGGGTATTAAGACATATTAAGTTTTGGGGGAACCTGGTTGCGCACCTTGCCAGCGCAATGAATATCAATGAATGGCTGGTTCGTGAAGCCCTTGGATGGTCCATTAGAAATGATCCCGGCCCCGGCCTGCCAGAGGTGTTTTTCTGTGGTCGTCAGATCCCAAAGATATCTGACAAAGTGCCCATTTCGTTAGTTTATCATATATTATCTACCCGGCCTGGTAAACTAACAGTTTGCTGTTGAAAATATGGCCCAGTCGAAATAGTGGATTTACCCATTGATAGCATGGTGATGTTCCATAGTTTTTTGTATTTTTTCCAGAGGGTAGATATCTTTGGATATGACATGGCAGTTCTGGGATCCTTTGGCGAGGCCTGGCTCCTAGATCGCACGGCCATGAGATCCAAAAGTTTCTGGTCCTTTTTGCTGGGCCTCAGTGGATGGCTGGTTGTTTCCCTGAAGAAATCACCAGTTGATAGGTGGTGAATATCATGCCATTATCTATATACATCTATATACATATATTTACAGGGTTTCAACCAAGGTGGTGCAGGATCTCGCAACCATGCACAGTATGTACAAAGTCTTCATAGTTTGTCAACAATTGCTTGAACATTAAACATATATCCACCATGGTGCGTTTTTTTTGCGGTGGGGAAGACCTGGACGAGTCCTGCGTGACGTGCACCAGTCATTTTTCAGCGTCAAACAGTTTCACCCAAATTGAGTGCCACGATATGATGGAAAAACCCAACTTTGAATGGGATAATATAGGAGATTACACCATTTGATCAATTAGAAAAAAACGCACGTAAAGGATCCTTTGGGAAGCCAGTTTCATCCAGTCCTTGGGTTGATGAGAGTCATTACAGTCCATGGGAACCCCTATATTCCACTGGGATTCCACTGTCCTTGGATGTGCATCCCACTTAGTAAGCGGTTTGCAGCCCATATGGAACTGGGGATGTTCCATATAATATGCATAATATATATATAATAAGTATATTATATGATATATATATATATATATGTCATATGTATGTGTATATATATATATATGTCATTTATATATATATAGTTGTATAGGATTTTTAGAACTTGAGTTTGACTAATTAACCACCACCAACGGGGACCCGGTCGCTGCCAAGGACCATGTACCCACGCTCACCATCGCCTCAGCGTGAGCAAGCGCAAGAGCAGGCTGAGGCCACGGTGTATGGATAGATTCGAAGCAGAAATCTCCATCGTTCACGAGAAAAACCATGGGTTTCCCGTAATGTCAACCCTGGATTAATAAACCCCTAGGCTGGTTAATTGGGGGGGTACCATTTAAGTATTGGATTATGACTATTGGAGGAGTACCCCCTAATTAATAAACCATGGTGCTGTTTACCAAATAGGGATATTTTATGTGCTGTTTATAAATGTTGATATGAGATATGTAACAAAACTCAATAGGATTTGTGGGGCCTCACAATATGCGAAAAAAAGCGGGACCCCAAAATCATCCAACCTGGTCATTTTAACTGCGAAAACTCATGGCTCGAGAAACAATCATGTATGTAACAAGCCATGGATGTGATCTTATTGGCAAGTCATTACAGTGTTGGAAAATGCCCATTCCAGTTCATAATCCATCCTGGAGACCATTCATAATGAAAGGGCTTTCAGTTTTCAACATGATACAAAGGTGGTCCCCCTGTTATTATAAGATGTTGGTTTAGTTTCACTCCATTCCCTATAGGTATATATGCCCCTAATCAACCCAACAGTTCACCAAGTTAATTCAACCAACTCAGCTATATATCATAGTATTGTCAGAAATCTGCTATAAATCCCATAAAATCCTTATTTTTGTTGGTAAAATCACTTTTTATCAGTGAAATTTTCTCAGTGAATTCCCCATGAAATCATCGTTGCGACGTTGCCTTCGGCCAGGCCCCTCCGCCCATGACCAAGGCAGGGCTATGGTTGAATCATTCATTTTCGTAGCTGGAGATTCCATCAGAAATAAGATGTAATGAGTAATATGTGTCCATATATCACTACTGCACTACATGAATGGTTTATGATAGATAGCTATGTTACTGTTGTATGAAACCTTGTATTTGTTGATGTTGTTTCCATTTTTCATGATTCTAGAATGGACATTTTCCGGGGGTATAGGGGCCATGTTCACATTTCAATCACTGCTGGGGATTGTAGTTCCAGTATACATGGGATGATCCACTGGGCCATGGACTGGCACAGAATGGTTGGCAGGTGGCAGGTGATGTCAGGCTCAACCTGCCCCTCAAGCTGAAAAATTGGATACTTGCCGTCACAAAAAAATCACCCACTTCGGTCCGCAGGAAGAGCAGAAGAGGAACGATCGATTTCAAGATAACATCAAGAAGGCTGGTGTGCTCCGGGCCACGGTTCTGTCACTTTCAAATTGGAGAGATTCAGAATGGGTCATGATTCAGAATGGGTCATGTGGTATGGAGATGTATGGAGTATGAACCCAGAGACCTTCATGTTTCACCTTGTGCGTTCATGTTGATGCAGGGAGACTTACGTTTTTTGTTAAGCTTCATATCCAGCTAAATTGATATGTACCCTTTTCGGCAGAATATGTGTATACAAGTGTATATTTATTACCATAATATCCATAATATACATATATCCCGCCATATCCCGCCAAAAAAGACTCTGTTAGGCAAATACTCGACATGGGTTTGTGCAGAATCGGGGCATACCCCGCATCTGCAATTCCAAGTGGAAGAAGCGTACTGGACCACTGACCACTGGATCTTGGGTTACTTGATTTTGGACAGATCCATACCTTTGGTGAACTATATCCTTACCCTCCAGTACTTTAGCATAGCTATGGAAGACGACTCATTTATAGAGGCCTTTATACAGGATTTACCCATGGGCCTAACAGTTTGTGATGTTCAATAGCCATGTTAGAATACCATTGTGTTTTTTTTAATCTCCTGCTGTGGCCCCTATGGCCATAAAACATCATGGTCTGAAAAAAAAAACTAGGCCTCCAATTTCCGTTGCCGCCATGGTCAGGCCATGAAGACAGAAGCCAAGGAGTCCCGAAAAGTCGTATGTTCTACAATGAAGAACCCCAAGACTCGTATACCAGTATAGAAAACAACAGAAAGAACAGCTAGATAAACACTAGTCAGAGGTGTGTGTGTGTGTTTATCCATTCAATTAAACTCATATTCCTGTTTGCACATCATGCAATCCCAAAACAGCAGTGAATCATGGCCATCCACCTCGAGTCCCCGAAGACTCCAACGATAAACGCTTAAAAAGTGCCCCAATACCGTAGCATTCCACGAAAAAAATCAATCACTGGGTTGGTTTAAGGGAAAATTTTAACCGGAAACCCCCATATTTCATGGTAAAAACCATGGTTTCCGGTTAAGATTTTCCCAAGAAAACCAATCCAATGAAACAACGTTTCATGGAAGGCGAATGTAGGTGTCCATTTTTCAGCTTGCAGGAGCTGAAAAAGATCGAGAAGGACAAGGGTGGAGAAGACGAGGACGCAACCAGTTCAACCCCGCTGCATCTGGTGGGTATACTTTCAATATCTTTCAATGATGCGTTATTCAAGTGTGCATTCCTTATATATCCTTATATGTTTTAGTGGATTTGTGTGACTAAAACTGAGAATGATGATGATTATAACTATGTTATGATCCCATTAATTAATCACGACTGCACTTATTTGGGTATCCCCGATCTCAGACAGCCATAGTCCATGGTTGATACAGATACAACCAACGACAAAAAAGACCTGGACAATGGGCCAGCGCTCATTTGATTCAGCGCTCCTAGAAGAATTGCTGGGTAATTTGGGGATTTTGTTTGAGGCGCACGAATCAGCATTTTTTAGCTTCACTTCGACAAACACACTCACTTTTTGGGGAGTCAGGCTGAATTGGGAGGCAGTCCAACCATTCCAACCAGCCAAGTTCCACAGAATGAGGCACCCCAAATGCGGCCAACACTGCCAGAGATGTGATTTCCAGCTGCGGTCATCAACGGAACGTGCTTTGAGCTTGGATGCCCTGGGCAGGATGGCAAGAAGGAGAAGGACAAGAAGGAGAAGAAGGAGAAGAAAGGAAAGGAAGATGATGAGAAGAAGGAAAAGAAGTCCAAGAAAGAAAAGAAGGAGGAGAAGAAGGAAGAATCTGAAGATGTGAAGATGGAAGAGAAAAAGGAGTCGAAGAAGGACAAAGCTGCTGAGGAGAGCTTCTGCAGTTCAGTTGGGTCCTTGGGCGGTCTGCTGTAGATTGTTTTACTATTGCCTCAAGGAAATCTCCGGAAGCTTTTTGTAATGATGAGAAATTTCTTTATATGTAATTATATATATAATTTATAGAGAATCTATATTTTTTTACGATGCCAATTGTATTTAAGATTGTTCTAATGGCGCATGTCCTACCTTCACAAGAGACTGTGTGTACTGTGTGTCCCTGGTCGGACAGGCTTTCGTCCAGTGGTTTAGCAAAAAGGTTGATTTGTTTAAATAACTGATGAATCTGGCAACTGACATGGTAGATAGATTTATGATAAATGTAGATTGAATATGTCTACAGGTGGCTGAGCATTGGGCTGTCTCATTTCAACTGCCAAAGTGGCAAGAAATCTTTGAGCCCCGAGGTCTTGACCAGATGGCTATCACCAAGTGGGGGTTTCCTAAAATAGGAGTCTATACACCAACAATTGATGGTTTACAATGGAACATCCTACTAAAATGGATGATGTCGATGGGAGTAGCATTTTAGGAAACCTCCAAGTCGATTTAACAATCAAAGACTAGACGCATACACCATGTTGAATCAATTTGGTGGGTCCATTGCTATACCTTCTGGTGAATTTCAGAAAGTTTGCCTTTGGTGGCAAGCCCTGGGCCCTCGAAAAGAAGGAGAAGAAGGGCAAGAAAGACAAGGAGGAAGAGAAGGAGCTTGCGAACCACTGATCCACTGATGGGCTGGTCATGTTAAGATTTACTCGTGCTAAAACATCCAATTGTATAACAACTTTGAGCCGTAAAATATCATGAATGGTTGGGTCATGTTTATGCTTCTCAGTCTGTTGAGTCTGTTGTTTGAAAATACAATCCCAAGTGACGAATGTTTGTCGAATAGGATACACATGGATGCAAACTATATCCATGTTCCGAAATGTTTGCTCAACAGTAGATGTAGACTTGCAAAACCCAGAAAGTATTGGCAAATCCCCAAAAAAGGCAGTTATCAAATGAAAATCATTGGCAGATGCTTCAGCTGTTGCTGTCTCCGGTCAGCATGGCAAGCTGGGAAATCCGGGTTCACTGAATACATGGAGGGTTAAATCATGTTAAATGAACCATCATTAATGGGTTAATGTGGTTAATAATGTTTAACATTAATGATGGTTAAATGGGAAACTCATCAATGATTTGTTGGTGATTAAACTCACCATCATATTAATGTGAAAAAGGTTAAATCATCAATGGTTTGATGTTGATATAACCATCATTAAACCATCATTCTTGGTTTGATGGTCTCCAATTTTGACCCAGTTGATATCCCAAGATTTCAACAGATCCCAGGTTTTGATGGTCAGCAATGGGTATTTCTAAATGGTGTCAATTCAGGTTGGTAAAGTATTACGTCATTTATAAGTATTACCAGTTACCAAGTAATACTTCAATTCATCATTTCTAAATTGGTATTTCTAAGTATTGCAATTTATGCAAATGATTGAATCTTCCTTGTGGTTGCAAGGAGAAGAAAAAGAAAAAGAAGAAAGAGTCCTCCTCATCATCATCATCCTCTTCCTCTAGCGAGGACAGCGCGGATGAAGCCGGATATTTTTTTGTCATTGATACAGCACATACAGTATAATATGCGGGAATGGGAAACTCACTCAAAATTTCCTGGGGAAGGAGGAGGCCAGCAGCGACAGCGGCGAAACCGTCATGGAAGAACAGGCACCCGTTTTTTTTTCCCCAACACTCAATGAGGGATATCGGATGGACATGATGCGGAAAGTGGATGAACTAGTTGAACTAGTTGCATTTCACAGATTTCGGGACAGAATGGTGAAATGGATTGAAATGGTGCAACAAACCTGGATCCAACCAAGCAAAATTTGCATGTTTCTGATGACTCTGATGACTAATGTTACCCCCAAAAAAAATCTGGTGGATTTCATCATCCCAGGGGGGGGAGATGGCCCATCTTTGAGGAGTCGAGGCGGTAGGTGGCACCCATCAGGACACCTGTTTTAAGCATCTTCAGGTGAAGTGAAGCTCAAAGACATCCAATGTGACTAGACTTAGGATATCTTAGGATGATGATGATGATGATGATGATGATGATGATGATATCATCCATTGTTATGCAGTGTGCCTCCTCCTCCCCAAAAAAAGTTCAACTGCGTTCTTCGGAGTTCAATCTGCTATGGTACCCAACTGTGTATTGTCAATTGCCATTGTTTCGGAGGTTGACATGGGCTTGTCTGAAAACGGGAAGTTTCCAAAATACCATGGTTGCGCATCACATTCCCCCTCAATTAAATGGTTGTTTGGGGGTTGATCCCCCACTTTCTGACGCCAAATCGAAGTTGCTTGTACATTCCATTACATTCCACTAAATTTCATGCTTTAAATCCAATACAATCCGAATAAATCCCATGAAATCCCTTAAAATCAAAATTAATAAATCCCATGAAATCTCACTAATCCCATTAAATTTCATTAATATGCCATTAGAATCCCATTAAATGCCATTAAATCCAATTGTAATCTCAGAAAATCCCATTAAAATCCCATTTAAATGGTAGATCCAAAGAAATCCCAAAAAACTTGATGTTTTTTTTCATGGAAAAACTCAATTTGTCGATCTCCATTTGAATCCAAGCCTTTTCCCTGGCTCCTCCACAGGTGGAGTGGGTGGAGATTCGTCCCAGCACAGCGGGCGACTCGAAATACGCCGCCGGTGCCGGGCTGAGGTCTGCTGCATCGATAATTTTTTGGGCTATCAATTATGACCTAGACCCAAAAAATGATCATGACCTATCTATGACCTATCTTGACCTAGACCTAGACCTATTCGATGATTTTTTGGGCTATCATTTTTTTGGTATTATGACCTATCTTGACCTAGACCCGGGATGATCATGACTGCCCGGCATGTCGGCATCACTGCAGGTTACAACTACGATTCAGAGGACTCTTCTTGCAGCGCTTACCTGAGCTGGTAGGATGAATATTTGATCCCTGACGTCAACGTCATAGCGTTAGCGGGGGGGACCTCAAGGATCTAGCACTTGAAACCATTTGTGGTTCATTTTCTATTGGTTTCCCTCTGGTAAACATACAAAAAACTATGGAAAGATCCACCATGCTATCAATGGGTAAATCAACTATTTCTATGGCCATATTTTCAATAGCAAACTGTTAGTTTACCAGGCCGGGTACTGGCAAAATGTGTGTATTTGTTTAGCGGATGAATCCGCCATGGTGATTTTTTCTATTGGTGGCAAGCAAAAAAAAACATTGAGAATTTGGTGTATCTTTTTAGAGCCAAGCGAAAACCTTAGCCCCCATTTGTTTATGGATGTTGTGAAAATGTGACCGCCAAGCCTTGACTGGACTTTATGCAATATGAAATGTCCAACTCAACAATCCTCCAATGAAAAAAACATCGTCCAACCACTATGCTACTGTGCTATACTTGGTTTTCTTGGCGGAAAATCACTGGTTAGATTGCTAGTCCCCATGTTTGCGATGTGGGTTATTGATCATCTGCAATTATGTTTGTCCTCGCTATGTAAATTGCTGGGTTTCACCCAGTCTTGATCTAAAAAACCTTCATGTCTGTGGGTTCTTAATTCATCGGATTTCCATATAATCAATCCATATACATGGTTTTCCTATGTTTTCCTGGTCAATTCCTATTTTGTGTGTTTTTATTCACCACCTTTCCGTGTTGATCCACCCCCCATGGCACCATCAGGGCCATCGCGGTGCCAGGATGAAGGCTTTGGACCAATGCCTGCGAGCCAACAGGACAAATCACGAGTGGTGCTGGTGGCTTCCCTGGAAATTTGGGAAATGGCCCATTTATAGCTGATTTACCCTCTGGTTATGTCAAAATAGCTATTGAAAATTACCATTTATAGTGAGTTTTCCCATCAAAAATTGTGATTTTCCATAGTTATGTTGAATTACCAGAGGGTACCTATTAAAAATTGTGATTTTCCATAGTTGTGTCAGTTTACCAGAGGGATCCAGAGGGTATATCTCCACGATAGGTAATGTCGGTAAAAGCTAATGCCACAAACCACCCATGACTGGGAATGGTTTCTAGTACCTATTTATGGTGATTTGGGGGATGGTTTATTATTATTTTACCCATATTATTCGAAATCGTCTGGGGAATACGGAACAAATGATATCTAGGAACTCAAGATTTAAATGTGGATGGTTTTTGAATTGAACATGGACCAAGTTCATTTGTCAAAGGCAATTGCACATTTTTGTTGAACCACCATGTCCAAGGTTTCTCAGTAGTTCCAAGAAATGGCTTTGTGATGCTTTGTGACTGTGCATTGTTTTTAAATGGGGGGGTTGAGCTAATCATGCAATGGGGATATCAAATGGAATATAACGAGGATATGGACAATCCTCGGTAAGTATGAGTTTAAGCCAACCATAAAATGTGACATTAAACTATATGAATGGATATGACGTTTTTCTAATGAGGACATCATATGACACAATACGACGTTTGGTAGCTATAGGTTTCTCGGGACGGGTTTGCCATGGCTTCAATGATCAGGGGATCGAATTAGTGATCTCTGGGCTTTGGAAGCAGCATCTTTGGAGGCTAAAGGGATGAGCATGGTGTGAAAACATGTGTTTACCCCATTTTTGTATATCTTTGTGGTTTCATATGGTTTCATATGCTTTCATCAGATATGGATGGATTTCCGTGGATTCTTCGGTGCCATGTGAAGCGATGGATGTGTAGAATTAGTAGAATTATTGCAATATGCGACTCGAGATGCCCAAGTTATGAGGTGTAATCTAGAAGAAAATATTCAGAATTGGGTCAAAAATATGGTTATACTTAGTGTGTTATTATGTATTATTATGTTCTATTAGTGTTATATAGTCAGAAGCAATTATATGAGATAGCCAGATCTGGACGATCTGGACGGTCTGGATGCTGGAAATTGCGGAGATTCCAGAGTACAGTACAAGCCTCTTGTGGATATATGGGTCATAAAGCCTGAGATTTGACTTGACAGATACATCATGGCTGGTGCCATACCTGGGGACGATGAACCTATTAGACCTATGTCGTTTGTATCTTGCGTTTGGGGATGTTTCATGAAGTTTTCTGGCGGTGTCCCAAACTGATGGGAGTGGCAAGTGTTTCCAAGGTCAACTAAGGTCAACTCACTTTTTGGACCTTGGGAATGACAATAGCTCGATCCCTCCGTTGTTTTTGGACCGTACCAATATCATTCCATCGAAAGGTTGGTCACTGCTTTCCCATTCTTGGTGGAGAGGTCTTCAATGCTTCACTGCGCAGATTGCTTAAACCACCTCTATAGATAATCACTTCAAAGCGTGTTGCTCAAGAATTCCAAGACTTTGAGATTCCAAGGCCCCCCTTCCATGCTGCTTGAACGCCATACTTGTCCAGTTGGTTAGAATGTCACTTCAACTCCAGGGAAGAGTTTTATCCTTGGGTCACCCTCTTCCGGTGACAACCTCATGGCTTTCCGTCCAGGAGCTGATTAACAACATGTCGCAGAGCAAGGGCTCCTACGGAGGTGCCGAGCAGGGTCCAACGGTCCAACATATCGATCGACATGGAAGACCGCAGTGGCCCAACTCGCCATAGGTGAGACGTAATGATAGGAATTATGTGTATATATATAAGTATTTAATTATACATAAATATATATAAATAGTATTATATATATAACTGATACATATATATATATTCAATATTATATAACTTTATACCAGCAGTTAATGTGGAATCATCCCAAAAAACGATCTATTCCACGTTGTTTCCAATGTGGTTCCTTGGTTTCCCATGGATACCACAAAGGGGCATTGCCATGCCTCAGTTCGCATTTGTGTTGTCCGTCTCACATCCCCTGGCAGAACAGATTGTTTTTTTTTTTACTTCGAACACATTGGAAATCTTTAGGTCTGGGCAAACTACCCCCAATGCAGCTGATATCGTCAAGATGGCACCATCTATATAAACACATCGAACTCCCAAAAGTGGCTTTGCAGGAAGCTGCTTTCACTGGAAATTCTCCGAAACTGGCGTTCCATTTTAGATTTTGGACGTGCTAGGCTATCTGCTTCCTGGTGAGGGAGACGCAATGGCTGAGTGTGGCACCTCAGCCCCAGTCCCGAAACTAAGGTGAATGAATTGGTGGCTTTGCAGTTTTGTCATAGGGGTGTCCGAGACTGATTCTCCGCCATTATTGCTTTTGGTGCTACTGTACATTTGCTCAAAAATATGATTTTTGATTTTATTTGCCCATTATGTATGTTTCATTCAAATGACGGGATGTTGATGGGATGGTTGTACCACTGACCTTCTGTGGAGTGTTCCAATCCCCCAGTCCGCATGATACCCATGTGTTGATGGCAATAGCTGTATTCGCTGGTCATATTCATTCATATTCCAATGGTTTCTCTGCATAGGTCCCAAGTGCTGTTGCTTCAATCCCCACTTCTGTTTGGATCAAACCTTCCCCGATTTTGGGCTTCACCAAGGTGCCATGGTTTTGACATGTTTTGACCCACCCGTTTCGCTTGGTTACACAGCCAAGGGTCAGTTAGTTCCCATGCCAAGGTACGTGAAGAGCGGCATGCGAATTCCTCGAAGAGGATCCGCCCCTGTTTTGGGGATAGAGTTGGGCATGACTACTGACCTTCACTACGTGGCGGCATGGAGCCTACCCGCATACCCAACTGTTGAAGCAACAAAGGACTGATTCTGTTGGAATTCGTTGGCTTTTCCTACGTTCTGAAGAAACTGCTGTTGTACAGATGTTCACTGTGTGGTGGTGTCATCATGTCTTTCATGTGTTTTCATGTGTGTTTATTACACTCTAGCCCCGTGCTACAGTATTCCATATTTGGTTGAATTTTGGACCCAAACCGTCTCCTAGTCTTCCTAAGTTTGAGAAGGCTCAATCTTGGTATCAATTGGTACATCTATGTCCCACACAGTGTCATTGGTTGGTAATGTTTTAGTGGAAGATTGTGAGGTTTTGCCTATGTCTATTTTTTACTTGTTCTACCGCGACAATTGGACATGGTGAGCGTTCCACCCAACTTGTTCGGCATGTCCTTCTTTCAGTAGTGCGAATGTGACCACAGCCAGAGCAGGTCAACAGATTTCTTTGAAGTCACCCAAGTACTAGCTGTTTCTCCACTATATAGCTAATTAATCAATGAAGTCAAGTCCTTCAAAAACTCTTGCCTTCCACTCTTGTGTCCCTGCAGGTCCACCTTGTGAAACTGGGGCCTTGGGGCACCAGGTTACTAGGATCACCCCCAAATGGTCGGTTATTTTCTGTGTTTACCACATATGCTGTGGATGATTATATATATATATATTTACACATGTATAGTATATATATATGTACATGCATAATCAGACATAGACATTAAAAATAAGATATCATATATATATATATACATATTTTATTTATATTCATATACATATCTCATTATATCATTATAACACCCCATGACCAATCTCTATGGTTTGAAAACCCAGGAGAGGTTGGCATCTCCGCGGAGCAGATTGACGGCCTGGAAGGCCTCGGTTACGTCGGGAGCCCCCAGTGCTGGGCGCCCGCGGTGGGTGCCCTGGTTGGCCTGGAGAGGTGGATGAAATGGTGATTTAATGATGATAAAATGGTGAAAATCATGCATTTCATGGGGAGTTTATTTCTGAGTTTATAGGGATCTAAAAAAGGGATTTTATAGGGATCTTGTTGTCGGATTTTATGATGATTTAATGATGATAGAATCAGATGTATAGGCAAAACCATTGTGCCACCTGGGGTATGGATTAAACAGTTGATGGTTTACCAGTTTTTTTTCCGCTTCAAAGTGTTTCTGTTTTTCCAATTTCAAGTCCCAGGGCTAGTCTGCCATACTTATTTCTGGGACTGTGCAACAAATACCAACATCTACTCGTCATGTCCAGGGGAAAAAAATCTAATATCAAACAAGACAATACAGTTATGGCCCATTATTAGTTATAACTGGTTATAAATGGGATTATACAATCTATAAATGGGGTTTTCTTAGTACTTATAACTGGTATTTCGGGCCATAACTGTACAAAGTCCCATGGTGAGATGCCGATTCTTGGCGGCAGCTGTTTAAAAAAAGTGAATCTCCAAGAGTTGAAGTTGAAGAGTAGTTATTCAGTATAGTTATATAATGTTATGTATACATATATATACTATAGTATAATATATATATAGTTATATATATATACACTGTATGTATTATAGCTTAGTTGCGATGTTGCCGAGTACTACTGGGAATCTTAAGATTATATACGCTGATCGTTTGACTTCAATTGGTATGTTGTGGGTAGCTACACAAGCGACAATCTCAAATCTCAGAAGGTGGGGCGGATTTCTTATGACTTTCTCGGCCGATCCATATTTTGATACGTTTCTAGTATATGCTGTGCGAAATGTTCTGTTCTTCGTTAGTTACTCACACCATGTTTTTTTGTTTACTGGAGATGTATGAACATATATATTCATGATACATGGATATATATATATATGTATATATATATATATATATTATTTTATTATATTATATTATAATATATTATATTATATTATATTTATTTTATTCTATATTATATTATATATATATATATTATTATATATACATGAATATGTATATATATATAAATATATATATATGCATATATACATCATACATATATATATATACATACATACATATAGTTAATCATAATAATAATAATAATTTAAAAGGAAAAAAACGTCCACTGGTTTTTACCATTTTTGAGAGTTGACCGTTGTTCCACGCTCCGAGGTCATGAGTGGCTCGCGACATCGACGCATGAACGCGGTGCGTATCCGAAAGGCCTGGGTTCTGCCCTGGGAACCCTGGGAGACCCGCGACCATATGGGATTATGATGAAGCAAAAGTATAAAATATATTAAAGTCCTCATAATTATAAAGGTAAAGTATGAAGCTGTTTTCTATCTTTTTGGTGGTTACTGTACCAACAACGTTTTTATAAATCTTTTTTGTTGAGACTCGTACCCGGTTTTGGGCTGATACCATGTCCATACAGTCGTTTGAGGAGTTACGAGCTCCAAGGTTTTAATCATATCACCATCTTGTTGGCCTATAGTAGTTATACCCCCAAGTTTCATTTTGTTTGCCGCCAGATATCACCATTTTTCCATATTTTTCCTATGAAAATTGGAAAAGTCGACAGCGTTTTCAGAGAAAGCCACCTTCTGAAAGCATCGCAGGAGAATCAGGTCTACTCTGCCGAGGAGAAACGAGCTTTGGCCATGTGCCCGGGAAGGATGCTTCCCCAGGGGTAATCATCAAAACCTGGGTACCAGTGACAGCGCCAATAGTATCCAATAGTACTCAGGAGTTTGATTTTCCAACTATGAACGGCTAAGATATGTTTAATTATTAATCATGTGAAAAACTAATGTTTGAATGTTTTTCAGGGGTTCGATATGAGATGTAAGTGGTTAAATCATCTTAAGTCATGTTCAATCCTAATTTTTGGCCAGTTGTATCCCCATAGTTCTACTGGTTCTACATCTCCAAGCCTTCAGCCCATCATCCAACGTGCGACAGGTACAACTTCGAAGAGAAGGCAAATCGCGAGTCCATGCTGGTGGGCGAGCTTCGTGAACTGTTGGAGAAGCGACAGAAGGTGAGCAAAACATAGCTTTCACGGGATCAAGGTGGTGGCGGATTCTAAAGATTCCCAGGTTTTTGCTACTTATTTCATGGGGCATATGACGAATACGTTTTTGTCAATAGAATGGTTTAAGAATATTGTTCACGACAAACTAACAATGTATGTGGGTTGTTAGATGGGAAAAAATAATGACACATCATCAAATGTTAGCGGTACTCGTACCTCATGTTTGGACAAACACATGTTGTTGGCAGGCATGTTGGAATTGAGACTAATTTTACAGGAAGTTGTTGGGAGAGTGAATTCAAGTCTTGAGTTGCATCAGTTTTCCAGAAATGGATTAAGTTTAAGATCTAGAGGAATAAGGCGGCAGATTTAAGACGAAAAGAACCATGGATGACTGATTTCCCCAATTCAACTGCTTGGTGCTTTGGAACATGAATTTGATTGTCCATTTCATATATATGGGATAAGTCATCCTTCCCATTGACGTTGATTCATATTTTTTCAGAGGGGTCGGTAGGTTGAAACCACCAAGCAGGTTATTATTAATCATCATTAACCATATAATAACCATGAATATTAACCATTATTAACCAGGTTTTTCTTAACCAACCAGGATGGTAGGTTGAAACCACCAAGCAGTCAATGTCCATGTCATCAATCCATGAAATCCCGAAATGGGGAAATCAGGCCATTGCCTCGGCGGTTGGAGATGGCACCACGCTGAACGATCGGTACCTGGGATGCAAGCGATGACTGGGATGCCTGGGCGGGCGGCCTGAGGAGATAAGATTCGGCTTTAAGATTCCCAAGATCATCGGAATTTCACCATATAATGTTACATATATACAGATAAATATCATGAAATTACTATCGGCTATATCAAGTAATTGGTGGTGAATAATTAGTGGTGATTAATGTGTATATATATATATGATATCAATCCTATGTTGGTGAAACTTTCTATCATCTTGGGATTTTGAGACTTGGGATTCATCAAGAATCATCTGATCGGTCTAAGATTGGGAATCCATTGATCAGTGGGACTACCTGAAAAAACAATGAAACCATTGATCGACGAATGGTATTCCAATATATTCCAATTGTTAAAGCATCGACATAGCATGAATATGCATGAAATGCATAGAAACTGACGATGGGTCAACTGAGACAACATTGTTACTACACATTTTTTTTATATTTGTTTATATAATATTTATTTGTTGGTTTATACATGAATTGAATAGAAACTGAAGATTGAAATAGCAGGTTTGCAGGAGTGAACATAGACCAAGAAACGGTGCGAAATCATTGGTTCAACCAGCAATACTGTTTAAGCAGCTAAAATGGTGGTTTAATGTGGTTTAAACACTATTTAAGCATTATTATCATTACTATTATTGTTATTTATATATATAAAATACATGGTTTAATGTGGTTTAAACACTATTTAAGCATTATTATCATTACTATTATTGTTATTTATATATATACACATACATACATACATACATACACATACATACATACATACATCCATGCATGCATCCATACATGCATGCATGCATGCATCCATGCATCCATGCATCCATGCGTCCATGCATCCATGCATCCATGCATCCATGCATGCATGTATGCATACATACATACATTATCTTACCTTACCTTTACATTACATTACATTACATTACATTACATTACATTACATACACACATACATACAGTATATGACAGTTCACCTTAAAAAAGTATGATATTATTCATCGATATCTGTGGGCTCATTTTTTTTAATTTTGGTATATGGTTTAATCATCGAGAATGGGAGGATCAAAACCATCAAGCACTTTCCGAGCCTAAATTCATGAGGCCTTGCTTGGGAGTTGGAAAGTTACAGGTACCCTCTGGCAATCGCTCACAGTTTGCCATGGACATTGGCAATGAAGATAACAGGTAAATCCTCTACAAGTGGATCATTGTTCAGTGCTATGTTAAATTACCAGAGGGTGCGGATACCTTTTGGTGCTAAAAGATCCATTGAAATTGGTACCCGAACCCATCCCAAACAAATATGTTAGAGATGGATGACACACCCACAGACAGGAATTACCCTCTGGTAAACTGACATAGCTATGGAAAATCACCATGTTTAATGGGACAACTCACTATTTCTATGGCCATTTTCAATAGCTATGTTAGTCATTACCGGAGGGTAAGTTTTTCCCCACTTTTGTTCGGTCGAATCCCTGTTGTAGCTCCACAAATTCAGCAACAAAGATGTCAGAAATTGGTTTGCAAAATGCTCATTTTCTGCACGTTTCTTAGCCAATATAGATTCTAGATCCTTTATTGACAGCATCCAGGTTTCCTATGGTTTCCTCAGTTTTGCTACTTCGATTAATTTGACCTATTTAGACCCTGATATGTGTTTTGATTGTAAGATCCCAATTTTATTAGGAAGATGTTTGTTTCAGTTGTTGACCTCCAACTGTTGTGGGTTTCAGTTGCCGACGGCTCTCCGCTGTTGTTGCTGACCTATCTTTGTTGGTAACATGTCCCCATCTTTTGCTGCACAAGATCATACTTCAGGATGAATTCCGCTGCGGCCTCACTGCAACCTCACCTCACTAAAAATGATGCTTAGGGTTAGAGGAATCATACTCCAGATATCTCCAGATGGCAGAAGTCTTCAGGCTGGAGAATTATTACAGTCTATCCAGAGACTTATTGTGTTTCGAGGATCACATCATATCGCATTGGTTTAACGATAAAAATGCACAGGAAACCCATGGGATTTCCCCATGATATTTCATGGTGGCTTCCACATTTCAATCTCATCCCTTAAACCAATTCATGAAATCCCTTACCCATAGGATCCATGTATGGTATATATGCTAACATTTGGGGTATATTGATGGTAAATGTTACCATATATAGCATACATGGATCCTATGGGTTAATCAACCACATTTTTTGTTTGGTTAAGTCCCATGAAAAAACTGTCGAAACCAATCTGACATATCTGACCATAACCAAGGTTCAGCTCCATCGGCGAGCAGAAGAAATTCCTCTGAGCGCCTGAAACCGCTCCGCCTGCGGTGAGAAATTCATGGCGCTGCTCGTCGTGGGTTTCAATGAGGGATCCCCAGTCGTCACCGCTTGAAAAATACGAAGTCATGGTCATCCATGACTTGGCTGATTTGGGGGGTACCCGGATGACCCCAATGACTTTGGAAACCTCTAAGTATATATTCACCTACCTTTGGGTCATTTATGACGTCAATTTAGAGGCAAATGTTGGTCAACGTTCCAGACATGGAGCATACGATATTGGGGAATTCGCTGAAGCACCGAAGGTGATACCAGTTAACCATGGAGGCTTATGCGATTGGCCAGCAATACGAGACATAAGAGGGGCCGAGATGCGGCCGTAGCCGACAAGAAGCTGATGCAGCAACAAAAACAGATGGTGATTGACATAAGTCGGACATGGTGTCCTTTTCTTACCCATAGGATCCATGTATGCTATATATGGTAACATTTACCATCAATATACCCCAAATGTTAGCATATATACCATACATGGATCCTATGGGTTATGTTAGACATAAGTTGAATGATGTTAAATGAATGGTGATTGACATGAGTCGCCACAATCGGAGCATAATGGTGGGTCAACTCCCAAGAAGGCTATGTGGCTAAGCCTGGGGCCCAGGGGCGTGGGAATCCAAATCCCTAAGAGGAGCCTGTATTCTACAATGTGAGGCCCCCAAGATAGCTAAGTTGGTTTATAACTCCAATAACTATGGTTTATGGTACTTATAACTATAGTTACTGGGGCTTATAAACCAACTTATAAATGGAGGGCCCCACATTGTACCTATATAGAAAAAAAACACTTCATAATACTGCATACTTGTCTTGAGATTTGCTCAAAGATTGAACTGTTCAATTCAGTTCTCCAATGTCTATGTCATTCTTATGCAAATTATGCAACTGTTTTTTCCAGGTTTGCAGAAATTCTTGGACGGGAAGTGTCTCAGCTCAAAGCTCATGGCTCAAGATGGGTTTTGATCGTAATATGTTTCCTTTCGATCTCAATGTTTTTGGTGTCGCCAGTCTGAAGTTACCTACCTCCGAAAAGGCTTTATACAAAGAAACGGCAACTGTTCTCTTGGCGCTTCAAAATACGATCATCGAGTTATACCAACCAATAAAAAAGGCACAAGAATGTAGTCAAAGTAGCAACTGGCACAGGATTTGTCGACTCCAAAGTCTACAAGATATTTTCAAAAAAAGAACGAAAGTTGTTTGCAGAACCACCGCAGAACCATCCGCCTTAACCCCCAAATTTTAGGCAAAATCGGCACCAGCTTCCGCGTTCGCGGGGTGATCACCTGGCCGGGAGGTCGCAGATGGCCGCTGGGACGTATAGCGATTGGCAGATTGCGAGGTTTTGTTTGGATGGGGGATGTGTTCAAAAAGATTTGGTTGATTATTTGTGGTTATCACATGACTATATATATATAGTTAGTGCTGGACAATTTTTGTGTGATGAGTTTTATTGAATCATTACCATTACATTAATATCATGATTACTGATTACTATTATACATTTCAATCATACCAGGTGGATGATGATCCCATTGAATGAGCATGTTTTGAAGGGGTGGGGGTGTTGGTTGGTCGCTGGGAAGCAAATTTGACGTTGCGTCGTTTATTTCTTTATAGCTCAGCCACCAAGCGGTACAGCCTTGAATATATTTTAAAAAAGGGCGACCAGATCCGTATTTAGTATGTGTGTATAATGTATGCAATGTCCAAAGAACCTCTACATGTTGAACCATTTTGGTGTATATCTATATTATATATATATAGTACATAGGAGGATTGATTGTAGCCATCCGCGTAGATTCTTGTCGTTGTGGTGGATGTGTCATTTGTCAATCCACGTTTATCCCACCAAACAAACTATCAAACAATGAACGTCTGGCAAGGGGGTCAACAAACAAGACATGCGGCTGTCCGTTAACCCTGGCACAACATGGTTTCACATCATCAGGCTGGGATGAGTGGACCGTCATTCCAAAAGGCAAGTCATATCGTATCAATATCAATCACATGTAATCCTCATCATATCGTCGAAGGAAGATTAGAAGTCAAACTTCCGACAATATGGACAGATGAAAAGCAGAGATGGGAGGAGTCAGAGAGAAGAGAAGAGTAGAAGAGAAAGAGTCAGAAGAAAGAAGATGCAGATGCGCGAAAAGGTAGGAAAGTCGCGAAACACTGTGTTTTTCCAATGATTCGTGGCTCCGGAGGGTCGAAAAGTAGGCTCGCTACAGCGGCGCGTGCGGAGCCAGCTGGCCAGATGAGAGATGAAAAATTGCACGCCGTTGTGGCGCGAAGCACATTTCCAAGTCAAAATGTACAAAACACACCAGGTTCGGATTGAGATGTCGAAAAAGTGCGCACCGTTGTGGCGCGAAGCACATTTCGAAGTCAAAATGTACAAAGCACATCATGCCCGGACCACTTTTGGAAGTTGAGATGTCGAAAAAGTGCACGCCGTTGTGGCGCGAAGCACATTTCGAAGTCAAAATGGACAAAACACCATATGTAACGTACGCGCCACTTTTGGAGGTTCAGATGTCGCTTCGCGTGGCAGGCGCAAGGCATGGGGCACCTTCTCAAAAGTGAGCAAAACGTGAGGGTTTTGTAGTATTTCCAAAAACGATGGCAGGCGTGGGACATTTGAAGAGGATCTGCAAAGATGCAGTTTCCGTGGAAGGCGCAGTACAAGAGACATCAGATCTTCAGGTTTGCTCAGATGATTTTGCGTGACAGGTGCAGCACTTCGTATGACCTGGCATCACTTTTTCGTGGCAGGCGCAGTACTTTCGACAGGTGGAGTGGAAAAATTGCAAAACGCATTGGCACGAGGCCAGGACGCTGCAGTCAACTCTCCATTTTTGAAGGAAATCTCGCAGAATTGCTTCGTTTTGGATGTTGTCAAGTTCAAAAATTAAAAAGTCCTTCGTTTTTGATGTTGTCAACTTCGAAAAATGAGGAAGTCTCGCAGAATTGCTTCGTTTTTGACGATGTCACGTGCAAACATTGAGAAAGTCTCGGAGAATTGCTTCGTGTTTGATGTTGTCAACGTTTAAACATGAGGAAGTCTCGCAGAATTGCTGCGTTTTTGATGTTGTCAACTGTGAAAAATGAAGAAGTAAGTCTCGCAGAATAGCTTGGTTTTGAAGCTTGCAGATAGGCAGGTAGATAGATAGATAGACAGACAGACAGATGAGAGAGAGAGATAGATAGATGGATGGATAGATGGATAGATGGATAGATGGATAGATGGATAGATGGATAGACAGAGAGATAGATAGATAGATAGATAGATAGATAGATAGATAGTTAGATAGATAGATAGATAGATAGATTAGATAGATTAGATAGATTAGATAGATTAGATAGATTAGATAGATTAGATAGATTAGATAGATTAGATAGATTAGATAGATTAGATAGATTAGATAGATAGATAGATTAGATAGATTAGATAGATTAGATAGATTAGATAGATTAGATAGATTAGATAGATTAGATAGATTAGATAGATTAGATAGATTAGATAGATTATAGATATAGATTAGATAGATTAGATAGATTAGATAGATTAGATAGATTAGATAGATTAGATAGATTAGATAGATTAGATAGATTAGATAGATTAGATAGATAAGATAGATAAGATAGATAAGATAGATAAGATAGATAGATAGATAGATAGGTAGATAGGTGGATAGATCGATAGATCGATATATAGATAGACAGATAGATAGACAGACAGACAGACAGGCAGGCAGGCAGACAGACAGACAGAGAGAGGGAGAGAGAGAGACGGAGAGAGAGAGAGAGAGAGAGATAGACGGACGGACGGATGGATGGATGGATGGATGGATAGGTAGGTAGGTAGGTAGGTAGATAGTCATAGAAAGAGAAAGCAAGAGAGAGAAAGAGAAGAGAAAGAGAAGAGAAAGAAAAGAGAAAGAGAAGAGACCTCAACCAGCTGTCGGTCCATCAGTGGCTTCGCTCTGCCACCCGTGACTCACAACAACCAATCTCTCCTATAGGTTTTCTATTTTTGAAACTTCCGCCACCGCCTTGTGCGGTACTACTGGTACTGATTGGTGGCTTGGAACATTTGTTACCTTTTCCATATATTGGAAACAGTAACCCCAACTGACGAACTCATATTTTTCAGAGGGATAGGTATACCACCAACCAGCGTATCATTACCGTAGGTACAATCACTTTTTTTAAAAAAGTTCTCCATCGACCCCGCCCAAGCGGCATCAATCAATATCAATCACATGTTATAAGGTATCTATATCAATATCAATATAATTCCTCCCCATATCGTATCATAGATACAGTCACTTGTTAATATCGCGTTCTCCAAGACGACCCGACCCCGCCCGCCCTCTTGCGGCATCTCCAAGCTACGCTACCAGGTGGTAAGATTCTTCGATAGGATCCAGGGGGATCCAGGCTTGATGGATCCGTGTGCGGGCGGATGATTACCCTCTGGTAATTAAACGTTTACATAGCTATGGATAATCAGCCTTTTTAATCGGAAAATCCACTATTTCTATGGTCCATAGCTGCCATAGTTATGTAACAAATTACCAGAGGGTAGTGACTAGATGTGATTAGTGTTGTTGACTTATGAAATGTTTTTGATCCAACCATAGGATTGGTTAATCGATGGCAATTACATATGGTATATACAGGTATACACATTGAATGATTGAATATGGTTGATAACGTTCAGTCCAGTGACCATGGTGGGTTCACCATCAGAAATGGGGAGGATCACCGACAGACATGGGGATTTGAATTTGAACCCATCAATAACGGTCACCAGCTAAGTGAATTTAAGGCTCGAATGACTGGGTTGTTTATCCAACCAGTTTGCCGGGGGTTTTATTGGAAACCAACAATCATGACTGGAGGGCACTACCACTGCAAGTCCCCCCATGTCTTTGTCGATGAAACAGGTACATTTGACCATGGCGTGGGAACCTGGTGCTTTTTTATTTGGGGTGTCTGGAAATGGGGTATTGAACGTACGCTAGTTTCAGTCAATCCCATTTTGCATCTTTCTTGTGGGCCTTTTGAGATGATACTTCTTTTGGATATGGGACTGAACATATGGTATATCAGTCAGCTATATCTACCCTAAGAATGAAAGCTTTGGGAAAAGGAAATGTAGTTCCGGAATTTCCTGCCGAACAAAGCAGGTAGCACAGGGGATGGTGGGTGGAATCTCATCACTTGTGCCATTTTGGCTCAAGCTGGTGGTGAGATTCCCCCACCAATTTTTGAAAAGGGAATGGGTCGCCTTGCGCATGGCGTGGCCCACGGAATTGGCGCCCTTTGGATCCTTGCGGGCGTGCAGGGCCTACTTTGGGGTGGACGATCAGGTGTGGAGCGCCTTCGTCCGAGCAGCAGGAGATCCTTCGGACGACTACAGGCTGTTAGCCGCGCTTCCACCTCAGGCAGTTGCGGCGACATCGGAGGCCGCGACTTTGGAGGATGCATCCCATCTCACCGTGGTCCAAGCTGCACAACTGGGGCTGGTCTACCGTCTAGCAAGGCGGAAACTACATCTGGACTCGGGATTGGACCTGAGGCTGTGGGTCGATCCAGACCCGTGGGCAGAAAGCCCGGCGATAGCCCCTGGGGCCATGGAGTTCAAGGAGGTGCCGAAGGTTTCAACGGAACGGAAGATGAAATTTTCTGCAGTCCTGGATCAAGGGGACGAATCGGAGTTCATCATATCCTCCGAGGAGCAGAAGCAGAGGTGGCTGGAGAACTTTGTGAAGCAAACCGGAGGGCTACCACTGGAGCAAGAGGAACCCTCGACGGAGCAGATCTCAGCCCTCCTGAGGAGGATCAATGCGGGGGGCTCTCCATACGCCGACTTCTCGGTCTGGTTGCCCTACGGCAAGAAGGCCCACAGGACGCAGAAGTACCGGTCCTACATCCCGGTCATGGGCGGGTACATCACGAAGGAGATCCCAGGACCGAGCACCTACGACCAATGGAGGTCAAGCTTCAGGGTCTACAGGACGGCACTCCTCATGCTCGACATCCTGACGATGGCGACGTGCGTTGCCTACGAGGCCCACATCGAAAAGCTGGACAGGTTGTACCCGGGCGCATGGCACCTCATCGTGCGCGCAGACGATCTTGCAAGATCCGAGCATCTTGTACGACTGAAGGTGTCGGTCAACATGGACATCGCCAACGGCACGAAGGAACCAATGGGGTGGTCAGAGGAAAACCCCTGGGAAAGCCTCTTCCGGCTGCTGATCAAGGATGCAGCTTTCTGGGCAGAGCAAGTTCACGTGCCTGCCAATGCATGGCTGGCGCATGGGTCGAAGGGAAGACTGCTGACACCGGCAGAAGCCATTGCCACCTCCTCCATTCAGGGTGGCATCAGTGCAATCAAGCCGGACACAGAAACTTCAACGGGGACACCGGCTTCGACAAGAAGGACACGGAATGCGAGGAGGAAGGAGGCAAAGAAAAGAGGCCGACACAGAAGGCCAAGCAGACCCCAAAAGGGTGAAAGGCGAAGGCAAGGGCAAGGGCAAGGGAAAAGAGAAGACCCAAGCCTGCTACGCCTGGAACAACAACAATGGGGCCTGTGCTGGCTTACCACCAGGTGCCGCCTGCCAAGGAAGAGTTCAAAGAGCCCACATCTGCACAAAGTGTGGCTCTGTGGGACACCCTTCAAGCCAATGCCCTCAGAAGGAAGGCTGATCATGGAGCTGAAGCGGGACTGGCATTGCAGGACTCCCACAACAAGACGAAGGTGGCAAGAAGCTGATGAGCCAAGCTTTGCACAAGTTCCGCCGATCTGGAGCTGGGCGAGGTCGAGATCAACGAGGCGGCGAAGGTCTGAAAGCGAGGGCAGAGAAGACAAAGAAGAACAAGGGAGAGACCGAAGAAGCAGGTCCCATAGACGTCCAAACAAGGACAATCAGGACAAGGCGGAGTTCAATGGGAAATTGATGACATTGGACCTCTATTTGATGAAGAGACGGTTTTTCTTTTTGCACTTGTACTCTGGACCTCAGGACCCACTTGGCTCAGCACTCTCGAGAGCGGCACGAAGGCACAAGATGAAGGTGACAGTCGAGAGCTTCGACAGGGACAGAGATGGAGTCAACCTACTGGCCGAAGAACCCTACTCCGAGCTTCTTGATAGAGCCAGGAGGGGGTTGTGGGATGGGTTTCATGCAGGGTTCCCATGTACTTCATTTTCGAAATTGCGTTGGAGGGAAATGAAGGGTTACCCTGGGCCCTGTCGTTCTCGAAGGCACCCTTATGGACTGCCCAGCAACACCCAAAAGTTGCAAGAGGAATGTGATCAGGGTACATTACATGCCTCCAGATCCATAATGATGGGTGAAGTCATTTTGAACTCCAGACCCGAAGACCGGATCAAACCTGCTGTGACGGTTGAGAACCCTCCCCCATCTGACCACGCGCATCATTGCTCAGCATGGGAACTCCCGGAAGTGGACAGCGCGGTGGAGAAGATGGACTGGACGAAGGTCAACTTCACTACGTGCCACTACCAGAGGGATGTCGCAGCAGGTCAGAGGACTTACAAGCCACAGATGTTTGCGGGCTCGCTGCTTGGCCTGGGGTCGCTGGCAGGCTCGTGCCCGTGCGGTGATGCAGACCACATCCCGGTGATCGGCAAGCAGAGATCTGTGTCGTCAGGACATTTCCCCCAGGAGTTGTGCGACAAGTATGCCGAGTTGGTCATACAGCACTTCCGTAGGCTGGCAACCGCCGAGTTCTATGCCAAGAGGGAATCGGACTTGAAGAAGGAGGTGGAAGAGCTGAGGGGAAGGACCAAACGTGAAGCCTCCCCAACTCCGGAGAGAGGAGTCAAAGGCGAGCACATCAAGACGAAGGAAGAGGAAAAACTTCAGGCCAAAGCCGACAGTGCGGCCACCTCCAAGTCCAAGGCGAAACCCAAGGAGGAGGACGAATACACCTATGAGTACGAGACGGAAGACGATGGTGACACGAAGGTAGAGGTCAAAGCAGAACAGGGCAAGGTTCGACTGAAACCCTGGGCTGGCGGCGGTGGCAACTACGGCATGCTGAAGGAGTCCAAGTCGAAGGGCAACAACCCAGCCAACCTCAACTTCGTGGGGGGCATGAGAAACCCTGTAACCACGGTGGCCGGCATGCCAGGAGCCCTCAACCTCGGAATGAGAATCCTCGCATCATGGGAAAGATTCTACAAGAGCAACCGACTGGCAGGTGAAGCAGCGGCAGCATATGGAACCCCCGACTGCAAGCTGGATGAAGCAACGGTCGACAGATGGAAAGTGGAGCTCCGAAGGCTAGTGGGGAGCCAGGGCAAACGTTCCGTGAAGCTTCAATCCAGGTGGAGGTACAGATCCCCCTTGGAGTCGGACCTCATACGGGCCTGGACGAGGAAGGCTGGGGACCCAGACACCGACCTGGCAGACTGGGTAGATGAAGGAACGCCGCTGGGTGTGAACCTCGACATCAAGCCGAAAGGTGTCTTCCCCCCTGCAGACAAAGAAGGTGACCCCGAAGTCATGATGGACGCAAGCCTGCAGATTGCCAGGGGAGCCATCACGAACTACATCAGCATCACAGACAACCTGGAAGACTCCAAGGAAGAGATCAGAAGACTCCTGGAGCTGGGCTACGTGATGAAGGTGTCAAAGGAGCAGGTCGACGAACACTTCTCGCAGGGCACCATCTCGAAGCTGGCCATCATTGTCAAGACAAGGCCGGACGGAACACGGAAGAGGAGGCTGATCATCGACCTCCGCCGGTCGGGTGGCAACAGTAAGGCGAGGTTAGACGAGAAGATAGTCCTATCAAGGGCCATGGACGCAGTGGAGATGGCGAGGGCTATGCACCAGCTTCACCCACAGACGTCAGTGGAGGAACAGCATGGGAAGTGGTCGCGTGAGCTCACCCTCATCGACATCGCCGACGCCTTCCCACATCTGCCAGTGCATGAGAAGGAACTCGAGCACACCCTCACTCCGGACATCGAAGGAGACGGCTTCTTGCTCTTCAGAGCCTTGCTGTTTGGGTTCCGGACGGCCCCGTTGCTATGGTCCCGGATGGCGGCGTGGACATCAAGGATGCTGCAGTCATGTCTGCCGCAGGAGGAGGCACAACACCAGACCTACCTGGATGACTCGTTGTGGGCACTCCAGGGAACTCTGGCACGAAGGAATCTGCTGCTGGGGTTCGTGCTCCACACCATGTCCGCCCTGGGCTTCAAACTTTCTGTTGGAAAGGGAGAACGAGGAGCGTCCGTAACATGGGCAGGTGTGGAGTTCAGACTTCTATCCGAGACGGAAATCCTCGTCACCTTGCCGGAGAAGTTCATTGTGGATCTCCAAGGCAGGTTGAAGGAATGGGAAAACAGAGGAATGGCCCCGATAGCCGAGCTAAGAACGGTGACGGGCAAACTATCCTGGCTCTCAGGCATCCTGCCGAGGACGAAGTGGATCCTCCGGGTCTTCTACGCTGTCTTGGCCGACAGAGAGGAGGAAGTCAGGTCCGGAAAGGAATCAACAAGGAGAGAAGGAAGGGCTGATTCGAGGAACAAAAGCGGACTCTTTGTCGTGAAGCGACTGGAAGGGCCCAGGCTGGCGCTGATGGAGTACCTCAACGTGACGAAGGAGAGGCCCTCACGGAAAATATCCCTGACCAGCCGAAACAAGGCGAAGGTGGCCCTGATTACAGATGCCTCCCCGGAGGGACTGGGCGCGGTGCTGGTGATCAATGACCAAGTCATCGACACAGTGGCGTCCCCGGTAACCGAGGGAGACGCGAAGGGCTTGGGATTCGAATGGGGAGCATCCTCTTCTCAAGGGGTGGTGGAAGCCCTGGCCATCATTATGGCGCTGCAACATTGGGGCAACAAGCTCGCGGGCATGAACGTCGTGATCACGATCCAATCGGACTCGGTGACCGCGCTGTCCACCACCCTTAAGAAGTCAGGCGCATCGCCTGCCCAAAACTTTTGTGGCGCCGTGCTGGGTGTGCTGTTGGAGCGGTACAGAGTTGAGGACGCAAAGCTCCAGCACATCCCGGGCGTTGCCAACAAGGTAGCCGACTACCTAAGTCGGCCTTCAACATGGAAGGACTCGCCCCGACCACCCGAGATCAAGGAAGGAACCATCTCGGTGAGTGCCGTCCGGGATGACGAGTTCTATCCACTTCCAACTCCGGGCCGGCGCCCTGACCTTTGGGGCAAGTCAGATGAGACAGATCTGACAGGACCCTGGATGTCGTGGCTAGGCTGAAGAAATCGGCTGCGTCGCAGATGTTGGAGGGTTGAAGGAACATTTACTTTGCTTGCTGAGGTGATGTTTGAAACATGTTTCAGGCGATGACCCGGCTTCGTAGGTCACTTTTGGGCTCAAAATGTCCCCCGACACACCCCTGGGCCTTTTCATCCAATGGATGGCTCTGACAGGCGTCGTCTGCCACGGGATAGCCTTGGTTTGGGCCTGTCATCGCTGCTGCAGGCGAGTCCCAATTTGCCCTTTCACCCCGTGCAATCGGGTCGAAGCTGGCCGCGTGTGGGCGTGTGGCAGGAAATGCACCCGGGACATCGATCTCAAGACTTCTCAGAAGTTCCGCGACAACGTCATCAGAGGCAGGACAATGCGGAAATGAGGACGAGCAGGGGTCTATCAGGATTGGTGAACCGCAGAACCCCGCAGGGAGGGGCAAACCGCAGAGGCTGACCATGGGTGAGACTTTGGGCCGAGGTCGTCGAGAACGCGGCAACGAAGGTGACATAGTGGCATGCCCTGAGATTTCCATGGGAGGGGTCTTCAATAGAGACCCATACCAAGGAACATGGGGAACCACACCAAACGAAGCACTAGGGCCGGAGTTTTGGAAACTTGAAAGAACTACCCTGGTCAGCAGGGAACCTCCTACCGCTGAGGGCGAGTACGGCACGATGGCACCCAGTCAAGGAGACAGAACAAGCCCAAAGCAGATGTCCAACAACGCAAATGGACTCTTTGGGTCAACCCCTGCACTCAGCAGGGTACTACGCATCGCCTCGGACACATGCAAGTCAGTGTACAACATGTGAAGGCAAAGGAGGACCCGGCGGATAGAACGGAGATGCCCAAGCTCAACCTGGATGGAGGAGCAGCATCGCACAACACGCGGAAGAGGAAGGCGTCCAATGTCCTGGAACTGGCGAGGAGGGCCAGCAGAAACAGGAAAGCCATCACCGAGCTGGAGGAAGGCTTCAACGCAAAGTCGTCCCGGGCAGCAAAGAAAGCGGTGAGGGCGACGGTGACGAAGATCATCAAGGAAGCAAGGAATGAACCTCCCGGGCCGCCCACCACGGACAAGCTGAAGGTACTTGCGGCAGTCCTCAAACAAGCTCACTACAGGGCAGCCCCGCAATACCTCGGGGAGTACAAGATCATGGTGATTGAAGAAGGGCACCAGTGGACCGACCAAATGGAAAGAGCCCTGAAGCTGTGCAAGAGATCGACAACGAGAGCCCTGGGTCCAGCCAAGAAAGCTAAAGAGGTGGCGGTGATGGAGACAGGGAAGGTTTTCGTTCCGGCAGTGACCAACAAGAAACCGAAGGTGGTCCCGTTAGCCCGGGAACTGTTTGAGTTTGGAGTCATTTGGATGCTGCGCGAGATCGAGTTGTCCCACGTGACGAAGGGCCATCTGAAAGTGGACGTTGAGCACCGGAGGGTGGTCCTAACCATCCCGGTATCGAAGACGGACCAGGAGGCCCAGTCAATGACGAGGATGTTGCAGTGCCTGCGCGAGGGAAAAGAATGTGCAACAGGCTGCCCCTTAAGAATCTCGGCGATGTTGGTCTTTGGCATGGAGGACAGGAACCTTCACTATGCTTCGGTCACGTCGAAAGGGAAAAGAGCCAAGAAGTCGCAGTTGGTGAAGGAATGGCAGAAGCTTTACGGCAGCGAGACATCAGGCCATTCCACCAGGCGAACGGGGGCACTGAGGTACATCAGGCACGGTTGGGCCATCCCCCAAGTAGCCTATTTGGGCCGCTGGAAGTCCGACGTGATTTACCAGTACGCGGCAGAGGCCCTTGAGTCCCTCCCCGTCAACACCAACAGGGCTTTCATCTCTGACCTCTACGGCACGAAGGACAACGACGGTGGGCCAGTCTTCTACAGAGCCAAAGATGTGGAAGAGGTCCGCGACTATCTCCTGGCCGAGCTGATGTTGGCGAGGGAACACCAGGAACGTGCCCTCAAGGCCATGGATTTCGAAGTCGAATCCCTGAAAAAGAGGAGCGACAGGAACAATGGGAAACTGCCGCCCTACATCCAAGCCTTGAACAGCAGGATCATCCACCACAATTGGAACATGACGAGCTGCACCCCGCCACTCGCTTGGAAAACCTTGTGCGGCTGGCACTACCACAAGGCTGACTACATGTTCGTCTGGTCAGAGGATGGCGGGAAGGTTTGCAAGAAGTGCACCGAGATCGCGCAATTGCAAATGAGGTAAGATGGATGCGATCAAGTATCCAACAACCCCAGCTGGTTGCAAAGCAGAAGGCAACCAAGCTGGCACAGACTCAGGCTCCACCATCTGAAAAGGTATTGGAGATTGGTTTGCTGCCGGAGTTGTTGGAAAAGGAAATGTAGTTCCGGAATTTCCTGCCGAACAAAGCAGGTAGCACAGGGGATGGTGGGTGGAATCTCATCACTTGTGCCATTTTGGCTCAAGCTGGTGGTGAGATTCCCCCACCAATTTTTGAACCACTCCCACCCACCCAATGTGGTGAGGTAAGATGGATGCGATCAAGTATCCAACAACCCCAGCTGGTTGCAAAGCAGAAGGCAACCAAGCTGGCACAGACTCAGGCTCCACCATCTGAAAAGGTATTGGAGATTGGTTTGCTGCCGGAGTTGTTAATAGGGACAATACGATAAAACATTGGAATTTCGGGGCGTTCCCATTCTTTACACAAACAATACAAACACTTATCTTGTGATTTTTGTTGGGGTGATCAGATTGATCAACCAAGAGTTCCTCCAGAACATCCCCATTGACTTTCATCCCTATAGTCACCCACCTGCAAGCATGCTATGTTCGTGTCGCAAGTTGGCCCAATGGTGATAACAATGGAGCGGCCCGTCTTCAACGTGAGGTTAGCCCTTCATGAAATCGCACATTCCATGGTCAGGTCTTTCCAAAGTGTGTCAAATTCAGACAGATCTACAAATGCGTTTGAAAGAATTGTATATATAAGTGCTAATTAGTCAATAATGTCTAAGCATAAATGCTAATGATCTATAAGTGTTAAATGCGTTTGAAACCTAGAACATATCATTGGACATTGAAAAGAACTATGGAAAATCACCATTTTTAATGGGAAAATCTCCTATAAATGACCATTTTCAATAGCTATGTTAGTTTACCAGAAAGTAAATGCTTTTGAAACCTAGAAAATATCATTGGAACATTGAGATAATTAGACTGATCTATGGCCAATGTGACAAAAAGGATACAAATGGCAGTGTGTCAAAACCTTGTACCCCTGTAGTTCACATCAAAAAATAGCTGGTTTAGCTGGATGTTCATCCCCCTAAAAATGGTATTTTCATAGGTATTGATCCATACCCAAATAACAAACCGGATCCAAAGCCACGTTTGACCCCTGTTACCCACAACCCGGTTTTTCCGACACCGAGGCAGCGGACGTTCATGAGAATGTCTTCAGCGAAGAGCAGCTCTTCACGCCTGACATCGTGCCGGAAGACGAGGCCACTGCAGTGACCACTGGGTTGTGTTGGTAACTATTGGTTATTACATGTTATTAGCCATGACTAAAACAAACCAACAGTATTATCATAGCATAACCAATTGAATTGATTATTGGATATTATTGGTTCTTACATGTTATTACCCATGACTAAAAGAAACCAACAGTATAACATAGTATAACCAATTGTTGGTAATTGGTGGCTGGACTAGTGGTTTGTTATTTGCTGTCCACAAAATCACGAGATTGCCCAGTTTGGGATAGGACAAGCCCTTGCCAAGTTTTGCCAAAAAGTTTTTAGCCAGCAACAGTGTGGTGCCCGGTGCCCCACGGTTACAATTGGTTTAAAATTTGTGAAATAAACCCATGAAAACCAGAAACTCGTTCGATATATATATATATAATTATACATATGTATATATATATATACCATAAGTCCTAGTCATTGGAGTTATTTGCACCAACTGAACGCTATCGTCAGGACACCACCTTGGTTTGTTATTCACACTTGACAATCAGTGATGGTTAATTCAAGCCAACCATTAAGAATCAATCGATATTCAATGACAATGATTGGTTTGATTATCAGCTTATTTGTTATTTAAGTATTGGTATTTTTTGTTGGGGTGCATGGAGGAAAATAATTTTCCCCCAAGAATATATCTTGTGAACCGCTTCTTCAAGGTCATAAATTCTGACCATTTGAGCCATGCTAACTCCATTTCCCGGGAAATGGAGTACAAGTAGTAGCTATAAAATGCTATGACGTGTTTGTGTTATCAAGCAATTTGTTGGCTGTATTTGCCACATCCTTGGTCATGTCATCTTATCACATCGTAAGGCTATTTGCTTCCGCATTCGGTTCACGTTGTTCAGTATTGTATAATATTAAAAACAATTAAAAAAGCGAAACGCTCATCTTATTAGCATCTCCAGCTATGCAGGCATGTATCCCGAAAATAAAACAGAACAGGGCACCACCAGCGTGCACAAATTTGCAATATTTTGCAATAGCCGTTCTCAAATTATCTAGAAAAACAATTATTTATCTGCTGCATGTCTGTTGGCCTATGCCAATCTGCTGCAAAGCGGAAAGGAAAATGGGGGGAAAAAAACGACTCATGAAAGTAACAAAGATTGGGTTCCTTGGGGTTGGGATTTGTTTTTTGTTTTTTTTGTTTTTTTGGTTTCTTGTTTTTTTGGTTTTTTTTTTGGGCCTCTTGGTTTCTTGGTTTTCTGGTTCGTTGTTGGTTTTTTGAAGGGTTGGCAAAGCAACACAAAAGTGAAGGACCTAGACCTCGCTCTTTGCCAGTTCTCCCACTTTAGGGGTTGCAAACTTGCTTTTGGTAGATTTTATTGGTTGCTTTGGGCCTGTGGTTCCATTAGAAAACCATGTAAAAAAAAACAATGGCAAAATGCAGGTATCACTGGAGGAAGCTTGGGGGGCTTGGGACACAGATTAGGCAATTTTGTATGTTTATATAATTTTTCAAAACTGTGTTGAACAAATGCAAAAACATAGGC